GAATAAATACGTTGCTGGCGCGCACAGGGAGGCTAGACTTAAATTTCAGATGTGGTTATTGGCAGGTAAACCAAAAATCGGCAATATTTATAATGAAATGTTAGAAACGCGTAAAAAATTTAAATCAAAGTTAAAATGGCGCCAAGACAGGCAAGAGCAACTACAAATGGATTTACTTGCCTCAATTCATTCGGCTAAAAATTTCAAAAATTTCTGGAAGAACACCAATAAATTGAATGTAAAACCTACGCTTCCTGTGAGTGTCGGCGGCGTCCATGATCATAAGATGATTGCCAATTTATTCAGCGAGCATTTTAGTATTCAGTCGTCCTCGGATCCAGTTTCTTGTAATGTAAATGATGCTACGACCATTGTGACGGAACCTAAGGTGTCCTTCTCAGCAAAGCATGTATCGACAGTTATAAAAAACATGAAGAGGGGCAAATCGCCCGGTCACGATGGTCTCAGCATTGAACATTTTAAGTATGCTGGGGTGCACCTACCGCGCGTACTCGCGATGTTCTTTAATTTATGTCTATGTCACTCCTACTTACCTGAGGCTTTAATGCGCACTATTGTGATACCGATCCTTAAAAATAAGACTGGTGACACTTCTGATAAAAATAATTATCGGCCTATCTCACTTGCTACAACAACAGCTAAGTTGCTTGACAGTCTGTTGAATAGCAATCTCGAAAAACATGTGAAGCTGAATGATGCCCAGTTCGGGTTTAGAGCCGGATTATCTACCGAGAGTGCTATTCTGAGCTTGAAACATACAGTAAACTATTATACGAAGAGAAGGACTCCAGTATTCGCTTGCTTCCTCGATATGTCAAAAGCCTTTGATCGCGTAATTTATGACCGCTTATGGGAGAAGTTGGGGTGTGCGGGTGTGCCGATGGAGTGCATCACCCTCCTCAAATTCTGGTATTCAAACCAGAAAAATCAAGTGAAATGGGCCGGTACGCTTTCGGATGAATATAGATTGCAATGTGGTGTAAGACAGGGGGGGGTTAAGCTCGCCTCTATTGTTTAATTTGTATGTCAATCAGCTTATGAGCGACTCAGTAGTACTCATGTCGGCTGTCATATTGACGATGTCTGCTTCAATAATATAAGCTATGCTGACGACATGGTGCTGCTGAGTCCCTCAATCAATGCACTGAGGACTTTATTGTCAATATGTGAGACATATGCGGAAGCACACGGGCTTAAATATAACGCTAACAAAAGCCAACTTCTTGTGTTCAAAGCAGGCAAACACCAGCCCTCCCGTGTGCCTACAGTAGCCCTCGATGGGTTGCCTCTAAAGCTGGTGGATAGTTTCAAATATTTGGGTCACATTGTGACAGCAGACCTCCGGGATGACGAGGACATAGAAAGGGAGCGCAGGGCGTTGACAGTGAGAGCCAATATGCTTGCTCGCAGGTTCACTAGATGTACAAATACAGTTAAAATAACGCTGTTCAAAGCGTTTTGTCAATCATTTTACTCTAGTGCCCTGTGGGTGACATATACGCGTCGAGCTTTCAATGCTCTGCGCGTACAGTATAATAACGCTTTCAGGATGTTGTTGCGGCTGCCGTGGCATTGCAGTGCATCAGGTATGTTTGCACAAGCGCGTACTGACACTTTTCCAGCGATCATTCGAAAGAAAACAGCCTCACTCTTGCAACGCTTACGAAACAGTAATAACAGCATCCTGAGAGCGATATCTGTAAGATATGACTGTCCCATACAGAATCACTGGGTGGGCGTAGTCATAGGATTAAAATAATGTGTAATTACTTACAATACTAACATAGTTTTAAGCCACTATTGTTACTAACAACATTACTAACAATATATGGACCATGGTCTGAAATAAAATTATTATTATTATTATTATTATTCGGCTACTGTGATTGTTTGCATAAATGTCACCACCAACTATACAGTTACACACCAAACGAAAATAAATTTAATCACAATCTGTGTTTGTAGCTATACAGTTAAATCAATAAATTAACTTCCTTCATACTTTAATCAGGTTTTGGACTGACTGCATTAAATGTATTTATGATTGATTTGCGTTTACTATGACACTAAGATTTTCATAAAATTATTAATGCAGGCGTATTTACAAGTCAATTTGATTGTATACACAATGATTATTGATATTTACAGTTTATTTACACTTTTTCAACGTTTTCACTATCATTTGTTTTTGCACTTTTATTTACACTGTACAATTAATTTGTTTGTTTGTTTGGCTATTTACACACAGTTTTTAAGTTTTATAATATTATAAGCATTTAATTTTTAAATTTTTGTACACAATTTTTAGTTTTATTTTAATTTTATGAATAAACGAGCTCATAACTCCGTCAAAAATGTTTTAAAAATTATTTTAGTTAAATTCAATGTGACTCGCTTCCCGGAATCGCAAACCGTTGAAATTCTTTACAAACAGATATTACTCTATTTTATTGTCTATGTCTATAGTCTTACGTATGAAAATTAAACGTAAAATAATACTGTTACGTACGCTGTTTTGTTTATTGTTGTATGCCACATGTGCACTTTGCGCTCGACCGACCGACAGTCGACTCCCGCAATAATCATGGTTTAACAGTAATCATAATCACGCATTTACAAAAATCAAATCGAGTCATGTTACAAGTATGTAACATGACTCGAAACTAGTGATTCGGTTACATGCCGCGTAGCCAGTTACTGTAACTAGTGACGTGAAATAACACCCACAGAGTACCTTATTGTAGAGCCTGATAACACCCACGTCTAGTTCTGTGCTCATGTCTAGTACTAAGTTGCATGCCCACAGTGCTGCCATATATACAGATTTCCCCGTATTTCTACAGATTTTCGGTGTGTGATACAGATTAGCACTGGATACAGATTTTTATACAGAGTTTTCTAACTCTATTGATTGGGTTACCATAATATTCAACTTAAAACAGAACAAAGCAAAATAAGTGACTAGATACCGCGTTACACACATCATTGCATGATTCTATTCTTTATGGTTAATTTATTTTTTCACAACGTAATTAGTTAGTAAGGCAGAATTACAAGTGTATTATATAATATGTATATATAAAATATGTATGACTGAAAATAATAAATTAATTATATGTTCGTTTGTTGCAAATGTTTGAGTTTTAACACGTTGTTTGCTTAAATTAATGTGTTCAATTTTGCTATATAAAAAATTTAGTGTATAGTGTATATTTTATACTTGGTAGAGCCACGTGCAATGAGTCAGCTCGACCGAGGAAGGACCACGCTCTCACAGAATACAAGCGTAAAATACCAGCTTAATACTGTGGTGGTGTGGTAGTTATTCGTGTGGTGAGTGTAGAAATCCGGAGACCCTTTTTTACTGGAAACGAATCATTCCATCTTAGTCCTCAGGCGTGACAACGCATCTGCGTTTTGAGTCTTAAGCGAGGATAAATGTAGATGTCTATGGTCCACAGCATCCACTTACCATCGGTGTAGTGTGTGCTCTTGTGCACCCTTATACATAAATAATAACGATAATCAAACCTTATTAGCTTATCACATTAGTAGTTATTCCTTGTTTTTCAAAAGAAGCAATGATGATGATGATCAATTATTCTATTTTGGTTTATTATATTATACAGATTTTATAAAGATTTTAAGTTTAAATAGCATACAGATTTAATACAGATTTTAGCAGTTTCTAATACAGATAAAAGGTTCAAGGCATCTGGCAACACTGCATGCCCATGATGTCCATGTTAGTTTGTTTGTGACTAGAGAGAAAATTGGAGAAAATTGGAATTATGAAGACATGATGACTTCCTTTTAATTTTTTTTTATTAAATACTTTTATGTTATCGCAGAGTGAAATTAAAAATTAGTAATATCTCTAATAAGTATGTCTGTAACACCTCAAGTTTTGTTATCAACCATTGCACGTGAGCGATGTGTAGCAAGTATAAAAGAGCTTCCTGCGTTCTCCTTCAACAGCGGGAAACATTTACATAATGCCTCTGTATTGGTGCCTTTATGTGTGCAGAAGGGAGAAGTGTCCCTTTTATATACACTTAGATCGTCGAATTTGAAAAATCACAGTGGACAAGTATCATTCCCTGGTGGGAAAAGAGATCGAGGTGAGAGTGTTGTGGAAACTGCATTGCGAGAAACTGAAGAGGAAATAGGAATTTCTCGCGAAAGAATAGACATATGGTGCGAAATGCCTGAAGTCCAGGGTCGAAACAAAGAATTACTTATAACTCCTGTTGTTGGTGAAATATTAAATTTTGACCCTGTCACATTACGCCCTAACGTGGATGAAGTAGATGAAATTTTTACTGTTCCCATGAAAGACCTTTGTGATGTTAGAAATCATGCTCACGTAAAATTTGAAAAGCATATTCTTCCTATTTTTCTCTATGAAAAGCACAAAATATGGGGTATAACAGGACTTATAACTCATTTATTTTTGCAGTGTTTTTTACCTTGTGATGTTTACAATGTGGATTTTTTAAGAAAACAATTTAAGTTACATGAACTTATGCCTTCAAAACTTTAACACATTTATATTTAAACTATATAAAACAAATAGAAGTAGTATATGCTGTACTAAACATCAGTCTGAAGTATTTATTTCAGGGATTTAAATATTTTCAATTGTTCAATCAATTAGTTTGAAAATGATATAAATGTAAATTATTAATTAATGATTAACGACTCAAAAGTCGTCATAAATAAATATATTTTCATGAGTATGTTCGTCAATAACTTAAATTTTATATAAAATAAAGAGCAATAAATAGTAATTGTGATGTTTGTGATAGATAAAAAATGTAATAATAAAAATGTAAAATATTTGCTTATTACAAGATATAATTTAAAAGAAATACACACTGTGATATTGTTACAAGAAATTTTATTATAATTTAATTGATTTCTGATCCCATCAATATTTTTATTCCTTGATATAATCAGAATATTTCTTTATGTACACATTAGTTTGGTACAGTTGGTGGTAGAAGGGTGCAGTTGACAGGTTTAATCATATGTTCATTGTTTTTAATAAGGTGCTGAATTCGGCATTGGAAAGTGCAAATGTTTTTGTAACGCCTCATGTCACTGGAGCAAATTGGATTATATTCAGTAGTGCAGGGGCATCTTTTTTCCGACCAATTTTTCCATAGTTCTTGCTTTGCTTGAGTTCCAATGTAAAATAACACTAAAGTGAGAACAACTGAAAGAAATTTTTTTAAACAAATTGACAACAGTTTCATTTTCTATTCAATATTACTAAAACTGTTTATTTACAAAATTATAACAGTTTTGATTTCTATTTCTAATATAAGTAGTACTTAATTTCACTTTTGACCAATGACCAAAAAATAAAATACAGATTTGTTTAATTTTATATTCTAACAGTGTAAAAATGGTTCAGAATAATTAAGAGAGACTCAAGGAAATTCATTAAAGAATTTAGACTCATGAACCAGAGAATAATGGCTTTTTAGTTCAGATGTTGAATTAAACACAAGTTTTGAAGATTGGGGTAGTATTTAGTATAAATCATAAATACCTATCATATTTTTAAATTGTTTATATGTAAAGATTTATGCTTCTTCTTCTTCGCATCTTCTTTCTTTTAGGATATATAATTTTGTTTTATACATTGAATAAAAAGCATCGGCATAGCATTTGAATTCGCAAGGACTTAAAAAGGTGATATAGTTTGAGGAACAAACTGGGAGTAGGAGTTTTGGACATGGGCACCTAGGCCAAGTCCACTCGTTGGGTCTACTAAAAACTGGAGACATCATCAAAATCAGCAGTGCCACTGGAAATGAAAAAATATGAATTTGGAGAAACAATGTCAGTGTAACACATTGAATATTATTAAAATATTATAACAAAAGATATATATTATTGTAGATAATAATTGCGTTTCGAGTATAAATATAAAAAGGTTGTTCCTTGCAAGATGTTTTATTTGTATTTTTTATTAAGAAAATGGCAGAGCTCTATAAGTGAATTGTGTGTAACTTATTGACATAATATTCGAAGCGGGAAGCATGACCTTGTTAAGTTGTCAGTAAAGTCCAACCTCTTGCTTCACATTCAAGGTGTGCAATAATTAAATTAATAGAAATATTAAAGTAGTATAAAATATTAACATTTAAGTATTTAGGTTAAAAGGTAAAGTACTAAATAATTATTTGTTTAGATTAGTTTTATGAAACAAAAAAAAATAGCAAGCATAAAATTTCTACTAACCAACTCTGTGATCCATTGTCAGGAAAATCTGTTTACAGGAACAAATTAAACACTAGACTGAAGAACAACGCAAGTGAATTCCAACTTTCATTGCCTTACTAAGTTAATATACAGGTACAAAAGACATTAACCCACTGTTTCCGCTCGATTACCTGAAAACGATGATAAAAGCTGACATTTTCTTTTTTTTTCCTCTAATGGCGTAAATGTGCAATAAAAGACGACGCACTTACTGTTGCGACATTATCCTATCTCGTTTTTTTTATTAAGCTATAAAACCTTCCGTTACGATAGGTACGCGCAGGAAAACTAATCAGTTATAACAAAAAATATAATCAAAATATTAGACTAAATTAATACATTCTTGGCATTATATTGGTAGGTAGTAGGTACTTTGTACTACTTTAGGTTGTAGGTACTTTGTACTACTTTCGGTTGTAGGTACTTTGTACTACTTTAGGTTGTAGGTACTTTGTACTACTTTAGGTTGTAGGTACTTTTCCATCATCATTCAGTTTCACGTGCTTCTTTTGTTTTACGGCGCCTCTACACGTTGGCCAACACAGTGGCGAATGTAGTGGTCAACGTGTAGAGGGGGTGTTTGGGCTTCATTGGTATGTATTGGAACGATGGCCCACAAGTTGGCGCGAGATCCGTGTGGTGTCGGTTTTTTACAAAAGATCAAAGGATTGTTGGCAGAGTTTGGTCGCCGCGTCCACACGTTGGCCGCGCGTTTAGTTTGCTACAAGCTCCCAGAGTAATTACACGCATCTGATTTAAATTTTATATTCAAGCTTGGTAGGCTGGCTGCCCCAATTACCAGCCTTTTAGTGCCAATTTCAACTTTAAACATTCCTACTACTATAATTAATTATTAAATTAATAATCTGATTGTAAATAAATGTTCATTATTTTTTTTTGATAAATAGCTTATCGATTAAAACAAATGTTTAAAAATAATTAAATCGCGTTAATTAAAGTAGTAGGAATGTTTTAAGTTGAAATTGGCACTAAAAGGCTGGTAATTGGGGCATCCACCCTACAAAGCTTGAATATAAAATTTAAATCAGATGTGTGTTATCACTCTGGGAGCTTGTAGCAAACTAAATGTGGACGCGGCGACGAAACTCTGCCAACAATTATTGATCTTTTGTAAAAAACCGACACCACACGGATCTCGCGCCAACTTGTGGGCCATCGTTCCAATACACACCAATGAAGCCCAACCACCCGCTCTACACGTTGGCCAACGCTATTGGCCACTACATTCGCCACTGTGTTGGCCAACGTGTAGAGGCGCCGTAAGGTGAAGTTTATTGAGCATTTTGTCTGCGTATATAATCCTATCATTATAGCTCATTGAAATCATAGTCAGATTTCAATGAGCAACCATTATTGATCATCAAATTTTAGTTCTGACATGTTATATTTTGTAAGCAAGGCGTTTACTGGTTTTAGATCAAACTTGAAAGTACTGTGCCAGCGTTATAATCGACGATATCGATGCAAATTGGATGTATTCGGTCTGAAGATATAAACGTCAGTCTCCTCGTACGTCAGTACAGCTGACTAAGATAGCATTAAGCGGATCGCAACTATCAAGTGGAAAGTTTTCCTCATCTTCAAGATGATCATGAACATCTTCAGTTTCTATCAAAATTATGCGTTGTTCCTTGAAAGTTTCATCAATTTCAGGCAGCCTATATCTCAGTAATTTGTCTACTTTCTTGTATTTTATCACGAGATTATGTATTTGTGGAGTTTTTTTGAGACTATAATACATCGCAGATCGCTGCCTATGCAGACGATATTGTCATATCCAGTAGATCTAAAAACAGAATGGTGTATCACTGCCTCAACCTCAGTAAAGAAGCGAAATGTTTCGGCCTTAAGATAGACACCGAAAAAACAAAATTTCTCTCTACGACTCGGAAGCACGAGCCGCTACAAAACATCTCTATGATGAGCAACATTTTCGAAGGGGTTGAAATTTTTATATAGGTACTTAAGGCTTCCGTCTAGCATTGCTGTTTTACATTCCCAGCCATTTGAGGGGCGCTCTCCCCCGTGCAGAAATACGTTCGAGATCGCAGGTGAAGGTGCTCTACTTCATTAAATGTATAACTTATTAATTTTTTTTTCCAAAAATATTCATTTTACTTTTGTCGTGGTAGTATAATTTTTTTACCCTTTTTCTATGTCGCTTTTAGTAATGTTTATATAATATACGGGATGTAGGTTTAAAAAGGGTATATGCAACCGAAGGAAAATAAAAACTGCCTCTTCATACAAATTTCGCCTCTACCTTGTACATTTTGTACTTTATTACTACTCTTACTACTATTTTTAATGACACAAGGATATTTCTTCTTTATCTATCCATCTTTTTCCGTCTTTTTTTGGTAATAAATTATATATAAAACTTAAAATAACATACCAAATATAAAAGTCCAAGTCAATTAATCTAATACTAATATAAACACTAAAAACTAGAACTAATATGACAATTAAATTTTCACGATATGCTCCGCTCAGTCCATAAGAGCTGCGCGAGTGAAAGAGATCAACCGAGCCAGCGAGAGGTATAGTAACGTTGAGCAACACTACACACGTCAACCTATTATTTATTCCGTGTCTGAACGCCGAGAAATCCCAGCGGAACTGAGAGAATTTTCAGGCGTTTCTGGTTTATAAATGGCATATAGGTAAAAAGTACGAAAATATATACTTTTTTAATTTTATTTATTTCTAACTCACTTGAAAATAGTTCTATTTTATGTGGTTTTAAGTACGCCTTTGCTACATTTATACTTCTAATAGAAAAAATAGATATTTGCAGTAAAAAAATCATGAAATTAAAACTTTTTAAGCCCTTCAAATGAGAAAACTAAAGCATTTATAAAAAAAGTGACCAGATCAGATTATTGTAGACAATATGTAAATAAATGTGATCTGAATACTTTTCTTGATATTGTTACAGTTTGTACATAGCAGAGGCTTTAATAAGACCTTTTACGCATGTAACCTAAACATAGGCATGTTTAACGCCTAATAGAGCTATTAATTTAAACACCAAAAATAAAATTAAGAAACAGTTTCGAAAATATCAAATCCTACACTTTAAATAAACGTAAAATATGTTTCACTTTTTCTTTTTTAAATACTATAAAAAATATTTGTTCTGCTGTAAATTTTGCGACAGCAATTTTTACAAGACTGGGGCCTTAAGGTCTACATTAACTTCTTAAAACAGCGCTGAAACAAATCAGAGCAAGAAAAGTCGCAAGAAACAAATGCTTTTATTTATATAAAAAGCTACTTAACTCCAAAATACCGAGCAGAAAATCCATGCTCACCATCTACCAGACGATCATAAGACCTGTTGTGACTTATGCGTGCGAAACCTGGACACTTACACAGAGGGACGAAGCGAGACTGGCTGTATATGAAAGGAAAGTACTCAGAAACATATTTGGACCAGTCCGAGAATCTGATGGCACGTATCGTCAGCGCATGAATCACGAGCTTGATGTTCCTATAGGACGTGAGACCATCATCAGGTTCTGTAAGTCACAGCGGCGAGATGGGCGGGCCACCTGGAACGAATGCTGGATTCTAGCGTCGTAAAAATCATGACCAAGTGGACTCCCCAACAAAAGAGACCAAAAGGCAGGCCAAAAAAACGTTGGGTAGAAAATGTGGAAGATGATCTGAGAAGAATGGGTAAATGCACCAACTGGCGCAGGGAGTCGAAGGATCGCGACAAGTACGCCACAGGATAGATAGGAGATTTTTGATGCCGTTTACTGTTACTAGAATATGTAGACCATGTCCCAGATACAAGCGACTTTAGAGTTCTTGGCAAAATTTGAGGTAATAGGTATGCACTTTACGTTTGCACCAGAATCAGTAACAAGATAAAGACTTTTTTGAGGCCAAACAAAGATACCTTAAATGAATTCGCTTAAAACTTCTCAAGTCTTTTTAACTTTAAAAATTCTTGTAGCTAAAGTATAGTTCTGATGTCTTTGGCACCATCTGCTATAAACTGCAGAGTATATGTTATTGTTGGCGACGCGCCTATAAGAATATTTCAATTTATTAAGTCAACCGATGACGAATAGCTTCTAAAAGGCAAATTGTCCAATAGCAAGGTTCTGATAAGAAAATGCTTAGTTAAATCTTAAAGAAATATCGAATTAATGATATGAAGGTCTTGGGTTCGACTCCCAGGCCGGACTAGTTTATTTGTTTTCCTAAGTAATATCGCTTAATAAATTCATAAGGAATTTAAGATATAAATTATGTTACCGGATTGTTTCCCCGGTTGAAATCATCTTCCAATGATGTAAATTCAAAGGAATATTAAAGTGAAGTTAGAGATCGGATTTGTTCCCCGGTCGAGATGATCACTCTGTGCATAAATAGAATTAACGGAAATTAATCGCATAAGTATTGTCTTATATAAATTTGATATGTTTTGTACGAAAACAAATGCCTATTTGCTATGATTGATTTATGAGAACATTCACTTATATTGTTATCTGATAAGAAACGTGATAACTGATAAGAATCTGATTAGAAATAGTTTCCTACAGTTTGAAAATTGTGTAGAAGCATTTATTCACCTAATACTGTCGATATTGGTGTATACTAAACTTTCCATTTTTACTGATAGTCGATAGCCGTGCAAAAGTTAGTTGTTCAAATAGTGTGAGTTCATAGACGCACGCTAGCCACGTACTTAGGAGGCCAAATATGTAAAAATTTAAATATTTGTAATTTCAGCAATTTATGTAAAAATGACTTGTAAAATATTTCAGGTTGATTGTACGTGCTAAAAAGGTGAATTCTGTGTTATTTTTATGTGAAAATTCCTGTGTATAAGTGAAATAATGATAGTTTTGTATAAGAAATTTAAAAGTGTTTTAATAGTGAAATAAATAGAGAAAATGTAAATTAAACTATTGTATTAGTTAACATATGTATAATTTCAAGTGGAAAACATTGTTTTAA